GAGGGTTGGAGGCACAGGTTCTAATTCATCTTGTTTTGCTGCAGCTCCATGGCCCCTGTGGCCCTTTAGCTTCGGCAATGATCTCCAGGGGCATCGCCAAACTCTCTCTCTCTCTCTCTCTCTCTCTCTCTCTCTCTCTCTCTCTCTCTCTCTCTCTCTCTCTCTCTCTCTCTCTCTCTCTCTCTCTCTCTCTCTCTCTCTCTCTCTCTCTCTCTCTCCCCCATCTCTCCTCTCTCCCTCTCTCTCTCTCTCTCTCTCCCTCTCTCTCTCTCTCTCTCTCTCTCTCTCTCTCTCTCTCTCTCTCTCTCTCTCTCTCTCTCTCTCTCTCTCTCTCTCTCTCTCTCTCTCTCTCCCCCTCTCTCTCTCTCGCCCCAGATATCGCTCAGCTGACTTCCACGACGTGGGATTAGCCGCCCCAGTCTTGACACGGGCCTTGCTACGCGTATTATTCGCGGGGGCCTGCCCAGGGGCAGGCTGGAAAATGGGCGCGGGGACAGGTCTCAAATCTGCTGCGGGCCTACTTTCATGCGCAGTGGACCCGCACTGGGCGCAAAAGGAACAACCGAGACCTGTCGCCCGAGAGCCAGCTTCCAGAGACCTCCTGGAGACACATGGCAACATCCTGTCCGTGCTGATGCTGATGCCTTAACGCGCTCACGACATGTGAGGCATCGTACGGCTGCAGCTAGCCCATAAAAACGCGCGCATTACGCTGGCTACCCCCATGCCTAAAGTCTTCGCCCTCAAGCATGGGGGGATGCTTGACTGTACCCTAGCGGCAAGAAGGCTCCAGAGCGACCGACATCCTCAAACCTTTGGCCTTGCTCGCCTGCCAGGGCTGCCGCAGCGCGTTGGCGCACTCCGCAAGAGACTGATTCGGCTGCGCCGCTGCCCCATGGCACTGCGCGCGCCTCCCGATCCCAAGATGCCCGAGCCAGGAGTTCCTGGAGCCGAAGGTTCCTGGGGCTCTGCTGGGGCAGCAGCTGCAGACTGAGGAGGCTGGCCTGGCTGGCCTGAGGCCTCAGGAAGCGCTGCGCCTTCTGCATCAGCGGCACCAGCTCCAGCTTCCTGTCTTGCTCCTGCTGCTTCTCCGGCGCCGGTGGCAGGTCCGTCGACTCGAGCTCGCTTGCGGCGCAAGCGCTGCAGATGCTCCATGTGATCAGCCTTGATGCGCTGCAGATTACCGGCAGCGCCCGCCGGCAAAAATATCCTTCGCGATCGCCTGCACGTCGGTGTTGACGGCTGTCTTCCTCTCTGCCAGCTGCATCTGGCAGTCTTCGGCGAAGGTGTACTCGTCCACTTTGAAGAAGTCGTCGAAGTCGAAGAGCTCGGGTGCCTCTGCCGCCCCGTCCACGACCTTGGAGATTGGAATCCTAGCAGGCCCGCCTTTTGCCAGCGGGACCCCACCTTGCTACGCCAGCTCTGCCACCAAGCCACGGCGCTGCGTGTCCGCCTCCTCCAAGGCGAGCCCCACCTCGTGGACTGCGTGGCGTTGGAGCGCAGCCTGGGCGTTGATGCGGTCCAGTTTGTCCAGCTCCTGCTCCAAGGCCCTCTCGAACTGTTGGACCTTGGCGTGCAAGGCGAAGGCTCGCACCTGCACTGGCGGGACAACGCTGCTTTCCTGCATCCGTCGCAACTGTTCCTTATGACGTCGGGCCGCTTCATTGTCACCAGCTCGCTCGGCGAGCTGGATGAGCTGCCTGAGCTCGCCTTCGCTGACTGTTGACGTGGCCCTGGGCGAATCCTGTGAAGGATACCGATCGCACCCGAACGCCAGCGCCATCTCGGTTTGCCCCTCAGCCTCCACGCTCTGCAGCACCTGGGGTGGCCGAGCGCCCCCGCAAGATCCCCGCTGGCGCCTGAGGCTGGGCGCCGCCGAGGATGGCGAGCGGCTTGGAGGCGACCTCAGACTTGGCCTCGCCGCGGTGCTTGCAGTGCGCCACCGCCTCGGTGTTTTTGCCGCTCCCGCAGTGCGCGCACTTCCAGAGCGGCCCCGTCGGCTTGGGCGGCGTGGGGTATTGGACCTCGTCGTAGCCGACGCTCCAGTCCCACTCGTCGGGCTAGGTCGACTTGCCCTTGCCTATGCCTCTGCCGTTTTTGCCTCGTCCGACCTGCTGCGCTCGCCACGGCGCAGGAGGTCGCTCCGACGGGCTCCACTGGGCATATCTAAGCAGTCCAGACGCTGCGACTGCGGCTGCTCGAGCTGGTGCGCCTCGGGATCCATCCCGACGCCAGCCCATTCGATTCACAGCTCCTCGCCCTGAGGAGTGATGTACGTCTAACACACCTGCGGTTTTGCCCAATCTAGCGATGGTCTTGGTCCAGGACCGCGATCTTCTCGCCGGCCTGTGCCAGGACTCCTCAGACACCTCGCTCGTGGCAGCAAACGAGAGATGCGCCAAAGCGCGGCAAAACGCTCGCTTGGGGTCAAACCTGTGAGGGCAACGAAGGTTCTCTATCAGGTGTGGTGCCCTCGCGCGCGGGGGCACCAAACCAAGCCCTCCTTGCACCAAAATGGTTTGCGCCAAAATGGTTACGGATTCCCTCCCATACTTTTAACGGGCGAGCAACGGGCTAACATAAACTGTTTCGCTGTCGGGGGCGCCTGTCCCAGGGCGGCTGGAAAGTTCATACCTTTACGGTGGCACCGTAGGGGTATGAACTTCCCAGCCGCCCAGGGACAGGCGCCCCCGACAGCGAAAAAGTTTATGTCATACCGCTCCTCGCTCGCTGATTGCTCCTCCTCCTCCTCCTCCTGCCTCCCTGCCGCCCTGCCTCCCTCCCCCCCCCCCTCCCCGCCCTCCCCTCGCCCTTTTTTCGCCGCCCCTCGCGCCCACGAGCGCCTCGGCGCCCCACGGCCGACCCCCCCCGCGCGCCGCCTCGCGCACGGCCCCCCGCCGGGTGGGCCCGCGAGGGCGCGGACCCCGGGCACCGAGCGCGGCGGAGGAGCTGCGCGCACGGCCGCCCCAGGGCGGCGCCGGCCACCGCTCGGACGTCCACTCCCTGTGCTTTTGCTCGGTCTCGCGCGTGGTTTTTTTTTTTTCGCCAGGCGATCCAGGCTGCTCCTCGACTGTCCTCGCCGAAGGACAAATGCGCGCGCCCGAGCGATGCCAAGGACCTCAGGCACCGAGCGCGGCGGAGGAGCTGCGCGCACGGCCGCCCCTGGGGCGGCGGCGACGTGCTGCTGCGACGGCCGGCTTTCGGGATGTAGCTTCCAGGAGTTTTTTTCGGGCGCCTCGCGCGGCCCTCTCGCGCGCCAAGGGCCCCGCGCGGAGAGAGATGGGGGTTACCTGAGCGATTCTGGAACCGCTGTCGATCACGGAGCGGCTCGTGGTCCCCACTTCTCGCACGTGCGGTGCGATCCAGGGCCCCAGGAGGTCTCCCCGACCTCCGCGGCTCCCATGTCGGTAGCTGCTGACGGTGTCCCAGGGGCCCCACAGCTATTTGTGCTGTTTTGCAGCCCCTGGGGCCTCGTGAGGGGTGCTCTGGAGGCCGTGGGGGCCTCCCTGGAGATCCTTGGGACAGCTTGAGCCAGGGACATCTCCGGCAACATCCGACCATGAGGTCCCCCAGGAGGGCCTCCGGGGTTCCAAGGGAGCGCCAACACATCCAGAACTGAATACAAACATCCTACAGCCATTCATCTTCCGGCCGCGGCCCTCGATCTCCCGCCGCGCCCCAGCAAATAAAGCAAGAGAAGACCACAAGACCAAACACATGTCAGGCACACACACACAGGACAAAAAAAACAACACAACACACAAACCCACACAGACACATTCCCTGCGACGTACACAACCCATCTCTATCAAATGACGAGATCCCGCTCTGATCTGCCTAAGACGTCACTCCAGAAAGTTGCGACAGTTTGCCGGTTCGCAGCCCCCCAACGACGGCGAGTTCCCACGCTGATCTGAGGAGACCTCACTCTGTTGGATCGCCTTGTATCGCTCGAGTGCGGCGACAATTTCGCAGTTCGCAGCCCCACAGCGGCGACGAGGTCCCGCTTTGTTCTGCCTAAGACGTCACACCACTGTACCCTCACCCACCCACCCCAACAATTTCGCAGTTCGCAGGTCCCGCTCTGTTCTGCGCTGGATCCCCAAGCAGCCCTCGAAAGTGGCGAGAAATTCGCAATTCGCAGCCCCCCAGCGACGGCGAGGTCCCGCTCTTCTGCGCAGGACGTCACTCCGCTGGACACCCTCGCAAACCTCGAAAGTGGCGACAAATGCGCAATTCGCACCTCCCATGCGACGGCGAGGTCCCGCTCTGATCTGCGCAGGACAGCCCTCGAAAGTGGCAATAGGTTCGGAGATCGCAGCCCCCCAGTAATAATGGGGGTGAGGTCACATAGCACGGCGCGGCCAGAGGCAGGCTGTCAGGCCGGAGGCGAGAGGCAGGAGGGAAGAGAAGGAGAGGGGCAGAGAGGAGGAGGGAGACGGGAGGTGGGAGACGACGCGCGCGCGCAGTGCTCTGGCCAGAACGAGAACCCAACGCAGGGGGTGGGGGGGGGGGGGGAAACTGACCCTGCGACGCACCCAACCCTTTTTTATACACGTGGCGCTTATCTTTCAAAACTGCGTCGCCTGCGAATTCAGTACACTTTGTACTGAGCATGTGCAACTGCGAGCTCGCTTGCAGGAGCGGTCTGCTGTCGACAGTGACGGCAGGATCGCCCACTTACAAGACACCCGCGGCCCGGACGTTGTGACCGCTCCCTGGGCTCTTCCTTGGAGCCGCCGAACAAAAATCTTCAAAACGAGAACCCAACACCACGGGAGGCTCGGGTCGGGCGAAAGGGGGGGATAGCAAAGGGGGGGTTTGAGAATCAGCTCACGTAGCTAATTTTCCCGGCGCCTCCCGGCGCCGGAGGCGGCTATGTATCGAGGAATGGGCCCCTCGGTGGGGCCGAAACCAGCTGCATGCAGCAAATTTCGTAACCCCCCCTTTCCCAATCCCCCCCTTTCGCCCGACCCGAGAGGCGGCCGCGCCCGTGGCGCCTCGTCAGGTCCGCCATCTCCCCCAGGCGCTCGAGCCCGGCGCCCTCGACGATCCTGCCGGACCTCGGCCACGGAGGCCCCCCTCGAGGGGGGCCGGAGCGCCGCGGGGCTGCTGCTCACAGCGTGCGCGGCATCGAGGACGACGCCCCCTCTCCTGGACCCGAAGGCGCCAGGGTGCACGTGGAACGCTGGAGCCTTTTATTATTATTATTACTATTATTATTATTATTATTATTATTATTATTACTATTATTTATATATATATATATATATATAATCCAGGCAAGTTTACTTGCATGGCGTTCGCCCCCCGCCCCTCTTCAGGCGAACACCGGCGTGCAAGTGCCTTTTGACTGGCGTGATTTCCGCGCCACCCCCCCCCCCTCTCGGGCTTGCTTCAGGCTCAGCCCCCCCCCCGTCCATGCAAGTAAACTTGCCAGAGTCTAAAAAAAAATCAAGCTCGAACGACGCCCCCTCCTGGGCCCGAAGGCGCCGGGGTGCACGTGGAACGCTGGCAGGCGGCGAGCGAGGGGGGGGGGAGTGAGAAGGGGCGGGGTGGGGCTTCGCAAGAGGCTCGCAAGTCTCGGGGCCTGCTGAGAAGTGTTCTAAGCCTTGGCTTGAAGACAAACAAAAACTTCTCAGAAGGCGCGGGGGCTCGAAGCCCCGCCGCCTTCTGAGAAAGCCTCCTCCTTCACACTTACCTCCCTCGCTCGCCGCCGAGCTGGATGAACAACTATGGACGGACCCACCGGATCGGGCGAACTTGGGGGGCAGCAAAGGGGCAGGAAAGCCCAGAATCGAATCGACAAGTCGGATCGGCAGAAGTCGGCAGCCGAGTCGGGAGGAGTCGAGTCTGCGGAAATCGACAGCCTACTACGACTCCAAAAAGGAATCGGAATCCAAATCGGAATCCGAAATCGCATCGAATCGGAATCGGAAGCCATCGAAATCGAATCGAATCGAACTGGAGGCATCAAGACGAGTCCTGAAGGGGGGACTCGCAGATCAGCTCACGCAGCTGGTCTCCCCCGGCGACGCGCCAATCTGTCGGGTAAAGCGCCCGGCGGCGGGGCCGAGACCAGCTGCAGTGCAAGCAGCAGATTTCGCAACCCCGCCCGTTCCCTACTCCCCCCCGCCTCGTTCCGGCCCGAACCTTCCAGTGGAGGCCAGTCCACAAGAAGCCCAACCCTGAGACCCCCAGGACGTCCCCTTGCTTTTTGGCGTGGGCACGTCGCGCTCTCCATCGCAAAACCATCGGAACGCAAGAAACCCAGGGCAACCTGGAGGCAAGCAGGGTGTTTCTTGGCATGGGTCTCCACTGGAGCAGGAGGAGGAGGAGGAGGAGGAGGAGGAGGAGGAGGAGGAGGAGGAGGGAGGAGGAGGAGGGAGGAGGAGGAGGAGAAGGAGGAGGAGGAGGAGGAGGAGGAGGTAAATCGAGCCCGAAGCTTGGGAACAGCGAGCCCCTCCCAAACCCGCACTGCGCCCTGCCCTCGGCCTCGCGACTGCACGTGGCGTCGGCGGATCGCGCCACGTCGCCGATGCGTCGCGGACGTCGGGGCGGAGAAACCTGGACTGGACAAGCGCGTTCCACTGCTCGCAAAGCAACTGCACGTCGGCCGGGAGGAGTAGGCAGAAACATGGAGCAGGAGGGCGGATACGGCAGATTGGGCCCAGGTCCTCCCAGAGAAGAACAAAACACAGCGAGAGCATGCCGATCCTTGAAGTAGGAAGGCGCTTGAAGCAGATTGGGACCTGGGACTCCCAAAACGGCTCCTTTCAACGACTGGCGTCCCCTCGCAAGTGGTGTGGATCCGCCAAAGGGGGACTTACGCTATCATTACACCGAGGCAACCACATGTTGACTCGGACGTTTGCGAGCAGGCACTCTGCGCGTCGTGGCACGCGCTCGGTGCAGGACTCCAGATCGCGCCGCACCACCGATGCACCGGCGATGCGGCGCGATCCTCCGACCCAGCCGCTCTGGGCCCCCTTCCAGGGTGCCCAAGTGTGAATGGGGCCCGGGGGCGCATAAATAAATAGACACATATAACAGGTCTCCCCTATATCACCCTATATTTTCTGGGTTTTTGTCTCCCCCCCCACTTCCCATATGTTCCCATATTTTCTGGGGAATCGACGATTCATTGTGTCTGTGTGTTTTTGTCCCCTCCTGAAAGTAGGGGGTCGCACCTGCCACCCCCGCCTCCCCAGGCCCCCACGCGGCCTCGTGAGCAGAAGCACCACCGAGGGTCTCGGGGCACTTTCGGGGGCGGCCAGGAGGGGGCCGTCAAAGAGGGAGGGGGGGGGGGGGGGCAATTCATGGCCGGCGGCATGTGCGCGGCCCAGAGGGGGGGTCCAGGGACGTATTGAAATATGAAGAGGCGCCATAAACTCTGGGGAAACATCATGGCCCACGCCATGATATCAAACCTCCCCCTAGTCATCACCCCCCTCCTTGCCGACCCCGACAATTTGCCGCTCCCAGGGGCCCTTGCCGGGCCCCCTAATGGAGGGATCGCGACGTCGGGGGTCGAGGTCCCTCACCCCTCCCGCCTTCCCAGCTGAGGGGAAAGGCGACCAACATGGACGACGTCCGAGGCGACACTGACAGCGAATCATGCTCAGAATGATCCATCCTGAACATAACTCGCAATGCTGGTCCTTTCATTCTGAATGGACCGGCACTGCTGTTGGTGCTCGTCCCCAGTCATCTGAGGAGTCATCTGAGGGGGGCACGATGGAGGGGACCGGCCCGGGGTGGGAAGCAATGACATGGAATCGGCGGTACATCGCCGATGGATCCGCGACAGGCCCCCGGTAGCGAACCAGCACGCTGTTGGGCGGGGAGGGCTTAATCGAGCCGATATCGGCGATGAGCGGGCGATTGATGACCGATGCATCCCCCTGAGCCTATCTCCCCAAATGCTGCCCCTTGGTTCTCGGGTCATAACTCGGGTCTCTGGCGGCCGTTCGGAACGACCATGGCCTCCCCGGGACGCCTTCGACGAATCGAAGCTGATGGGACCCCCCCCAAGCTTTGGAAATACTATAAAAATGACAAATTGTTCGAGCCCCCCCCCCCCCTGGGCCGACCCCACCCGCTAGCGTTGCTCCTGGTTGCTATCCCCCCCCACTCTGGGCGGCGCGCAAAGGGGGCAAGGCTGCTTCTTAGAGGGCACCGGGCCTACATCTAGAGAGAAGGCCCGCACCTTCTAAGAAGCAGCCTCCTTCTGAGAAGCCTTGCCCCCTCCCCCAGACGCCCCCTCCGCGCGTGGCCGACCCCCTCTCCGCCCCCACTCCGCTTGCACAGAGAACGCCCAGGCGAGTGCCTGCAGGCCCTGCCCAGGCTCGAAACCGCGCCTCTGGAGGCCGAGGCTGGTGCCGAACCGCAGGAATCTCCGAGCGCCGGGCCCCCATCGGTCGGCCGAGGACCTCGACGGGCCGATGACGTCGGAGGACTTCGGTGGCCGACCCGCTCGACGACCTCGATCGGCTCGACGATCTCGACCCATGGGCTCCGAGGACCCTCCGAGCCCCGTGCCTCGATCGACCGGCCCGGCGGCCCCGATTCCATCGGCTCGGCCACGGCGCGGGAGGCCGGCGGCGCGGCCGAGCAGACCGAGGCTCCCGACGTCGTCGTCGTCGTCGTCGTCGTCGTCGTCGTCGTCGTCGTCGTCGTCGTCGTCGTCGTCGTCGTCGGCTCGGTCCGTCGAGGTCACGTCGTGAGCCCCGGCCGGGGTCGGCGGAAGGAGGCGAAGGCGGTGCCTCCTGAAATTGGCTCCGAAGCCTGGGCCGGCCGGAGGTGATTGGCCGACCCCCGTCGGCGCCGACCTCCTCCTGCTCCTGCTCCTCCTGCTCCTCCTGCTCCTGCTCCTGCTCCTGCTCCTGCTCCTGCTCCTGCTCCTGCTCCTGCTCCTCCTCCTCCTCCTCCTCCTCCTCCTCCTCGTTGCCCTCCATCTGAGGGACGGGAAGGAAACTGGTCCTACGCGAGACGACATAGCAACCTTACGCGGTGCCGTGTGCCGTCCACCAGCGCGCCACGCCACGCTGGAAACGAGGGCGCCAACGCGCGACCTTCTGCGGGCAGGTTGCGCGCCAATATCTGTGAAGGCGGCCCCGTTGTTCAGCGTCGCTCATCTGGTTTTCGGGCATATCTCGGGTCTCGAGCGACCGTTCGTGAAGATTCCCGCATCCCTGGAACGTCAGCGACAGAGTCGACCCCCTCCGCCACGAAACGACTCGAATCGGCGGAAATCGGCAGGCTGACAAAAACGGACATCTAATCCGGAATCCCAACTCGAATCGAACCAGAATCGAGCGGAATCCCACCGCATCGAGCTGGAGGAATCGAAATGAGCCCCGTCGTCGTCGTCGTCGTCGTCGTCGTCGTCGTCGTCGTCGTCGTCGTCGTCGTCGTCGTCGGCGTCGGCGTCGGCGTCGTCGTCGTCGTGTGCGGCCGCTGGGGGGCCTGGCACCCCGCGCGCCGCACGCGGATGAAGTCGGGCATGTCCACGGGAAGAATACTCAACTAGGGCTCCCAACTTCGCGCTTCGCGCTGCGCGAAGCGCGAAGTGCGAATAACTTCGCGCTCTCGCGCCGCCTCCCAGGGGAGAAGAGGAGGATGAGGAATCGGAGCCGAACCGCGAAGCGCGAAGCGCGAATAACTTCGCGCCCTCGAGGGCGCCCTTGAAGAATACTCAACAACAGTCCGAAAATAGTCCAGTCGGGGGTGGACAGAACCCCCAACAGTGACACGTCGATTCGTGAATTGTCCGTTTTCGGTTTTTGAGAGGGCCTCGTGGCCGTTGTTTTCCAGGCTTGCGCGAGCCAGGTTTGGGCCCGAAGTCGTTTTCACTAAACCACGTTGTACTAAAGGGAGGTCTGCCCATCCCCGATCCAGGGGTACTACGGATTCGATAACAAAGTGGGGGGGGTCACATTCGGGGGGGGGGTCTGATTTGAGCTGTCTTGGAGGGTTCGGGGGGATATGGGCACAGGGCCGCCCTTTCATGGATGGTCTGGGAGGGTCTAAAACTTCTCGTCTGGGAGGGTTGAGACCCCCT